TGTTAGTTGGGCCACTAGGGGGGGCTTACCCTGTGTCGTCCTAATGCCCCAGTATAGTGAAGTATACTATAAAAAGGCGCCGTCCTTCAGATGAGACCACTCTGTGGTCATTAAAAATCCCAGATCATTTCTCAAAGAGAGTAGGGGTGTTACCCCAGTGCCCTGGCCAAATTTCCCCCGGCCTCCTAATAACCCCCATCTCTGAACTGGCCTCATCACTCTGCTCTCCTCCCCACTGAGAGCTGGTGTGTGGGGAGAGGACTGGAGCACCATCCAGGTGGGGGTACACACTGGTGGGGGTGGAGGGGATCCCCATGACCTGTAAAGAGCTCTGAGTGGAGGGTCCAGGAAAAGCGCTCTATAAGAGTAGGGAGTTATTAATTATTATGAACTTTCAGACCCCCTCTCTCCTTCTCAGTCCCTTCAGAACAAGAGCTACAACCACTTCGCCGCCATCTACTACCTGCTGGTGGAGCGGCTCAAATCCCACCGCAGCAGCTTCCCCGTGGACCAGCGGCTGGACGCCCGCCAGCGCCGGCCCAGCACCATCGCCGAGCAGACCGTCGTCAAGGTAACCGCCGCCGCCGCCGCGTCCCGTGAGGCCCGAGTGCCCCCTCCCCACCTTGGGGATTGCTCCACCGCCGGGTAGGGTTGCTGTGTGAGCGGCCCCCTGTGTGTGTGTTCCAGGCGAGCAGCGCCCCCCCGCCGGTCGGCCTCCTCCCTCAGAGCGTGCGGCTGCTGCGCTCCCCGGCTCTCCCCCAGGCCTCTGCGGACTCCTTCACCTTCCCACCGTCCCCCTGCGCGCCCGAGCCCAGCCTCATGGAGGAGGAGGTGGGCACGCCTCAGGTCAGTGGGGGGTGGGCGCGGGGGGCGGGCACGTGCACGCTGGGGGGGTGGGGGGGTCGATCAGTTCGGTGGCCCCCTCGGAGCCGGTTCCCCACCTGTACTGAGACACGCAGCGGCAGAGAGGCCTGCCTTTTCCAACGGCGCACGGAATAGGCGCTGATCAGAATGCCAATGACGGCTCGTGATCGAAGGAGAGAACGGAGGCCTGTGTTCCTCCAGGGCTCCAGACAGCCGTCCCTGCTGGCACAGATCAGCGGCGCTCAGCCACCAGGACATGAACCGGAACACCAGTGCAGCAGAGCCAGCCGAGACCGCAGCCAGGGCCCCGGTACAGGATGATTGCTCTAGCGTAATAATAATAATAATAATAAACTTTATTTTATATAGCACCTTTAAAGGTGGCTTCTCAAAGCGCTTTACAGGATGACAATAACAATAAATAAGAAGACTACAACAATAAATAAGAAGAATACACAAGATAGGACACAATGACGGTATACAGAGGAGACCGTGGATGGGG